CTTGAACAGTGACCGTGTGTTAGAGGCGCTGTTGATCTTGTTGTGGAAATATGAAGATTTTGCGGCGTGAACGTCAACAGAGAAGGCAGAGAGCAGAGATTGATACCTACTGAGGTCAGATGTGTCTTTTGATTTGCGCCATTTCCTCTCCGCTGCCCTGAGCTTGGTCCGGTGTTCACGAAGAACCTCAGATAACCAGGGGTTAGAGGGAGTGGTGCGTGCTGGCCTAGAGGAGAGAGGGCAGATATTGTCTAAAGAAGAGGTTAGGATGGAGCATAAAGTATCCGTTGCAGTATTCACATCCAGAGATGAGAAATGTGAGGGTGAGGGAAGAGAAGATGACACAGCAGAGGAAAGATGGGATGGAGAAAGTGAGCGCAGGTTTCGTCTGAAAGTAAATGGTGGGGAGGTTGGTGGAGCATGGGTAGTGAGTTGTAGATTGAAAGTAATGAGGAAATGGTCTGAAACTTGGAGAGGTTTCACCAAAATGTTGTCTGTGATACAGTTGCGTGTGTAAACCAGGTCCAGTTGGTTGCCTGACTTGTGAGTACCGGTGGTGATGAGCCGTTTGAGATCGAAAGAGGCTAGGAGAGAGATGAAGTCTGTTGCATACGGCTTCGCTAGGTGAATGTTGAAATCGCCAAAGACTACAAGTGGGATGCCATCCTGAGGGAAAGAGGACAGCAACACATCCAGCTCTTCTACAAAGCTTCCTAGTTGACCTGGGGGGCGATAAATAACTACAATATGGATCTTCATGGGAGTTGTAAGTGTAATAGCATGATATTCAAATGAGTTGTTATTGCATAGAGAAGAGAGAGGTGAATATTTCCAATTGTTAGAAATGAGAAGACCAGTGCCCCCACCCCTCCCGGACTGGCGAGGTGTGTGAGAGAAAGAGAAGTTGTTAGAGAGAGCAGCAGGGGTTGCTGAGTCTTCTGGACGGATCCAGGTCTCAGTCAAGCCCAAGATATTAAGAGTAGAATGAGATGCAAAGGCTGGAATGAAATCAGCTTTATTGACTGCTGATTGACAATTCCATAGACCCATAGAAAGAGTGAGAGGTGAGTGTGAGGATGAGAGAAACGGGCGCAGATAAGCAGTATTGCGCTGCCTTCTGTGCGTGGTGAGAGAGCGTTGTCGAGAGACAACAGGAATGTGTTCAAAGCACATAATGATAATGGGAAATAAGAATAAAGGTAGGAAAGGAAAGGGTGAAGAAGATACTTTAAGTGCCTTGCAGGTGTCCTTGCTCGGTGGAGTCGCGCAGGTAGAGTCGCAGGTCTTTACCCGAGTCGGTCTTCACATGAGGAGGCTGAACACGAGAGCTGAATGCTTCCGCTGACGCTTCCGCGACAGCGCGCACACTACATAGAAATAATGCTATCAATCGTCTGAGTGAGGACAGCTGTGGTAGCCCTTGCAATTAGCACAGCGAAAGCAAGTATCCCGACAATGGCCCAAATCGAAACTAGCTGTTATGAACAGCAATACTTAAGTGCTACAATAACAAACACACTCCAACCCTTAAGACGGCAGATATTCAAAATAGGAACGCGACTAATTAAAATAAAGATATTTAGTGAAGATAAAAATTACAAAGAAGCAAAGAATCGAAAATAGCCCTACTTACTTGACAAATGGTAAACAGAGCAACAGGAGAACTGTATATTAAGAAAAAACAACTTACGCGCTCACACACGAGTCCCGCGGATATAAAGGAATAAGGACATTTATTCTACTGACCTACCCGCGAGTGCTGGATTACTCAGTTTATTAGACGAATTAAACTTGTGAGGTAACGCAGCGCTGCTTCGCTTGATCTAATGTTACACTATCACACTAAACGACATTTAAATGTGTGTTGAAAGTTATAATGTTATACTACGTGTTAGTTCGTTTGCTATACGAAACTAGCAGTGAGCTAGATCAACATTAGAATAACATACTGACCATATTCTAACATTTCATCATGTTGAGCTAACGTTATATAGCATTGATTTGTTTTATGTACATTAGCTCACCTGTCTAATAAAGCTGTTGTGACTCGTGAAGCTCTGGCGAGTCCAAGTTAGCCGCGGACGCTAGCTCTCGGCATCTCAAAAACGCCACGCTGATGTTGATCCTCATTTTAGTTCTCCTTGTTTGTCCCAAAGTCTGCTTGCCATGGTCTATGTTTGAAAGAAACAAGAACTGCGTGCCGCTAAACGTTACGCAGTTGTCCACGTCTGTCGCCATGGTTACATCATGGCTATGGCAGTACGAGCGGAAACCGAGGATAGCGCGGATGTTGCGTCATTGACAGGCAAGTTTTTTTCCGGGACGGCCACTTATTTAAAATTGGAATTTCTCTGAAATAAAAAATCTTTGGAGACTTTTGGGATATTGTAAGTACACAACTGCAGGAAATATATCACACTGTGCAAGTGATTTTTGGATATTTTATTACAAAATTCTTACATATTGGACCTTTAAATAAAATAGAGCATTAATGTTCCATTATCTGTTATTCTACAGTTATTTAATCTTATTTACACCAAATTAAAAAATTACACACCTCAGAAGGTTCCTCAATAATTCCACATTCTAAAAATAAATATTAAATTTAATAAAGAGAAAATTCACACGTTTAAGAAATACTAGTAAATTGCTTGTAAATTTCACAAATTAGAGAAATGGCAAGAAAGACATTGAATTAAACATTAAATTTTGACGTAGAAAGACTGAAATAGTATTTTCTTGTATTTAAAACCTAAAAAAAAAAAAAATTACGCAAACTAACCTTTAGAAAAATGTTTTCATTTTTGCTCAATTTGCTTATTACGAGCTGATGCTAAATAATCACTGAACATTTATGCACTGCCTAATCTTGTGCACAAATAGCTACAGTAGGGGATTTCTAATTCCCAGCATGCTTTATGGGAATTACCTAGGAGAGTTTAATTATTTTTGTTTTAGAGCAGAAGAATGAAGGAGACTCATGTTCTGTTAAACTTGCATTTAGAAGATATTCTAACAGTTATGTTTGAGTTTTTGAGATTATTACCTTGAGCTCAGTTTGAGGAAGAGTAATTACTGTCATTTTATACATGCTGTTGATATTTGAAATCACAGAAACGCCCCTATCTTGATAGCTCCGCCTCCAAATCCACTAACACGCTCTGCAACACAGGCACCTCCCCCTCATGAGTGGACACGCCCCTTACTACTGATTGGCTACAGGTGTGTTGTGGTGCTCAACAGCATTTCTCAGAATTTACTTACCGCACCTTTAAAAATAAAGATTCTTCCATCTAAATCTTTTATCTATCTGAAATCAATGTTTTTTGACCAAATATTTTCTTAGTATGTTCCTAGTCTTATTGGGAATCGTTTCATCAGTCATTACAAAGTGGCGTCACTGTGAAAACCCTCTTTTAGAACCTTAATTTTTAAGAAAGTGTACGCGATTGACAAGTTCACATGGTTAATTGTTGGCATTACTTAAAGATGTCAAAATTGGTCGTACAAAATAAGTTTAAAATAGCCTAACGGTCCTTAAAAGTCGAACGCAAATAACTAACATTAGCCTCTCTTTTTTTAATTAGTAAAACCAGGACAATAGGGTTTACACCTTAAGAGTTTTATGTGTAAGGAGTGTCAACTTTCATAATAAAGTTATTAGATATCAGAGGAATTTGTTTTACTTACCGGATTAGATGATTAAGCCGATTTCTACAATGAAAATCCTGTCGAACTTCTTTGTCGCGCGTCTGACAGAAATGGCGCGACTCACTGAGGCGAGAGTCGCGAGACACGTGACCTCAGGAGAGGCGAGGCTAATTAGTGAGGCTTGTTAGCTAAAAATTAACGTAGGTTACCCACAATTAACCAGGAAGCACGTTAACTAGTCCTTATTGTCCAGCCACTTGCAGATCAACAATTGTTTCGTAATGACGTGTTAAAGTGACAGCCCACTCCCACTACATGAATACTAATATAGGCATGCAGAGACGCAAGAGTAGTATAATACAAGAAACCCATAAATTAATCACTAAATTAAATTATTATTAACTGATATTGTCATTACATTTGATTTGAGTCAATAAAAAAACGCATATATATATGCATTTATGTGTATTTTTTACACATAAATGCATATATAATGAGATGAAAATGTGAACTTTCATTTAACATATTGTGGATTTAATGATTATTGTCTCTAATGATTTTTGCTCTAAAACGTGCAAAAAGCGTGTCTGTGAAAATGAATAAATGTCACATGAAATACACAAGACTTCAAAATCAATTTTAATAGCATTCTGTATTTGATAAACTGCTAAAAGTACGAGTTATTTGAGGAATCTTCCATTCCAGAACCTTCCTATTACTTTTCAAACAGTGAAATGAAATCAGGCTCAACAGAAGTATGAACCGGCCATCAGATCTCGACACATGCACGGCTGAACCGCTTCCAGAGCACGTCTGTCGGTTCAGAGAGAACAACACAAGCTCTGAATAATACTGACTTATTTTTCCATAATGTTCATGTCATGTGGCTTTCAATGTTCACATCAAAACACACGGTTCCAGTTCATCTCATATCGAAACATGACCGTCATTTACTATATGAAAACTGATATTCTCGGGCATCAGAGATTAATGGTATAAAGTTGTTAATGCATCAGTTTCCTATTAAAGGCATTATCATCATGAGTCAAATGGAGCCCTTGTGACCTTTAACCATTAAATCTGCTGCATTAAACCAATAATAATGAAGGACAAACATCGTAGTACTGAGTCCGATTCATAAACGTGTTCATGTTTGTAAAAGAGGTGCAGGATATTTGTTTATTCACAAGCTGCAAAGAGAAATTGGAAATAAAAAAGAAAGTGCTAGTACATGTACTTGGCTAAAAGAAAAGAAAAAGGAAAGAACACAAATAAAGCTGGTGCATGTGTGAGTTTAGCCGAACCGTTTCGCTATGATGGTTAGCTTGGAGCTCTAAAGAAAGCTGATGTTTTATGTACATGCGATCCGAACCGCTTTAACAGAAACTTCTGCACGACCTGTCAAACGTTCAGCCTGTGAGACTCTGGGAATTAGACCCATTTCAGGCTAGAGAATGTCTGGAAACAAATTCATTAAAACGGCTTTTGAAGACCGAACCCAATCCCAGCATGCACCTCTGAGGAGCTCACGTCTTTTTCATGCAAAACGTTTGAGATGATAAATTTGGCTGCTGGAACACTTTCTGCACGGCGTTACTGGGGTCGAAGAGGTGAAATGAAAAAAATGAAAAAACAAAAAACAAATTGAATCTTTCAATGAAATGGATGCGTGTGCATCCGTGTGGCGTTGACCTCTGACCCCCGGGGGCGTGTCTCAGTCGAGCGGCGTGGGGTCGGCGATGGGCATGGTGTGCAGGACCTCGTCCAGCAGCTGGAGGGCCCGGTGCAGGTGGATCTCGATCCAGCAGGGCGTCTCTTTAATGCTCTGTCGGGGGTAATCCGGGCCCCAGCCTTTAACGAAACTCATGCGCAAGATGCAGAGCCGGCGGAGATCGTCCACACCGATGCCAGCCGCCGCAGACAAGCCTAGCGGTGCCGAACACAAGCCACGACATCACAATTAGAGACACCTCGTCACACATATAACATAAAACGGTAACACTTTACAATAAGGTTCATTAGTTACATGAACTAAGAATGAACAATACTTCTACAGCATTTATTAATCTTAGTTAATATTAATTATTACATTTTCTAATACATTATTAAATCAAAGGTTGTATTTGTTAATGCACTGTGAACTAACATGAACACACAATGAACAGTATTTTTATTAACTAACATTTAAAAAAGATGAATAAATACTGTAACAATTGTATTGCTCACTGTTAGTTAATACATTAACTAATGAACCTTACTGTAAAGTGTTACCGATAAAACTATCACAAACAGAGTAAATAGTAATCGTAAGCTGTTTTATGGATCTTCACACACCTGTCGAAACAACATTACTGTAATGATCTGCAGGGATAATGTTCTTAAAACTAAGTTAAGTTTGCGCAAGACAATGAGCAATAATGCAAGACTAAGATAATGCGCAATAATGATTTTACAGTGTCGTAACTAGAGATGCACCGATATGGAAATTTTGGCCGATAACCGATAATTCTTTATACTTGAGAGCCGATAACCGATATATCGGCCGATAAATCTAACCCAAATTTTTATATCATTTTTTTGAGAGCCTGATTACAAAAACAAAAGTCTCACCATTAAAAGCCACGTCCCAAACACACAATTATGATGTTCTCATTATAATTTCATGTAGCCGATATGACGCTGCACTTTATTTAGCTTTTTTTTAAGTGATTCCAAATATTTTTCAAGCAGTTCAGAATGATCATGTTGAACAGTGCGCATCTGAAGCGTCTCAGCTGAAGGAAATAATACATTATATATCAGCTTTAATATATCGGACAAATTTTCTTATCAGGCCGATAACAATAATATTAAAATGAACATATATCGGCCGATACTGATATAGTGACCGATATATCGTACAATAATATTAAAATGAACATATATCGGCCGATACTGATATAGTGACCTATATATCATACAATAATATTAAAATGAACATATATCGGCCGATACTGATATAGTGACCAATATATCGTACAATAATATTAAAATGAACATATATCGGCCGATACTGATATAGTGACCTATATATCATACAATAATATTAAAATGAAAATATATCGGCCGATACTGATATAGTGACCAATATATCGTACAATAATATTAAAATGAACATATATCGGCCGATACTGATATAGTGACCTATATATCATACAATAATATTAAAATGAAAATATATCGGCCGATACTGATATAGTGACCAATATATCGTACAATAATATTAAAATGAACATATATCGGCCGATACTGATATAGTGACCGATATATCGTACAATAATATTAAAATGAACATATATCGGCCGATACTGATATAGTGACCAATATATCGTGCATCCCTACAGTTTACACTTTTCAGATTAGGGGTTCTGTAGGTATGAGACTAAACGATCGAGTTTCCAAGTTTGTGACCTGAAACCACAGCTCTGGAGTGTATGTGTGTGAAGACTCACTGATAGCAGGAGCGATTCCTCCGACGGACCCGGGTCCGGGGATGTTCCCGGCCACTGCTGCCGCTTGAGCCGCCGCCGCCGCCTGAGCCGTGGCCGCCTGCTGCTGCATCTGCCGGTGGCACTGCCGCAAGTCAAACACCTGTAGGACACACACAACGGGGCGGGTTGTAAAAATAGATACAGTGGTGCGGGGCGGCCCAAATAATTTCATAAAAGCGGGACCTGCGGGTTGGGCAAAAAGCCGACCCGCGCATCACTTATTACACACACAATGCATCGACTTTTTTATGTTTTTGAAAGATAAAAAGTTTGTTTGTTTAAAAATACAGTAAAAATAGTGAAATTTTATTACAATTTAAATATTTTAAATTACAGTCAAACCAAAAATTATTCAGACACCTTCAACATTTCTCACATTATCACAGTTTATTCACTATAGTTGGTAATAAAACATGAGCAGAACTCAGTTCTCAGATCAGGTGATATTTGACTGGTTTTGTCCGTCCTTCTGTTAGACTCTCACACATGAATTATGTTGAATATCTGTCAGCTGTTAAATTTAACTACACAATTAGATAATACCAGTTTAGCTCAACCAGTGACCAAGCAATGCTTCATGTTGTTCAGTCTGTGTGTTAAAAGAGCATTAGCAATTACAGAAAACACACTTCAGCAGAACATCATCAGCTCAAAGTGGAGGAATCATTTCTGCTCCCAAATTTGTATAAATGTCACTGGTAGTCACTGTATGAAGAATATTTAGGTATAATATGTCACATTTGACTTTATTTTGCTCTCCTCACTTACACAAATGAACTATAGTGTCCTGCACACACTAGTAAAAAAATATCCCAAATTATATAATCTGGTGTCTGAATAATTTTTGGTTTGACTATTTTAAAATGCTATTTATTCCTGAGATGCAAAACTAAATTTTCAAAACTACCTAAACGTATCTTTCAAGGTTTAAAGCAGACGTTCCTCTCACCTTGATGTATGCGCTGGGGTAAATCTTGTGCACAGCATCGCCAGGAGCGCGGCCGGCCTCGCGGTCCAAGTAGTAGCTCTGGACAAACACGGCGTGATCGCTCAGACAGCGAACCCAAACATCTCCTTCACCTTTACACTCCAGCTGGACGCCTTTCCCGATGTGCAGTCTGGAAACAGGCATCAGATCAGCTCCAATAGTCATCAATACAGGTGTAACGATTCTGAACTCACGATACCATATTACTGCGATACTCCAAGACATGATAAAAGACTTACGGTTGATTAAAATGCTAAATTTGATGTTACATTGTGTGTGTAAATGAATAGGATGGACTTGGTGCTGAACCCAATACAGGACAATAGAGACACCAGAACAACAATATTCATGATTCTGAAGATGAAAACACTGAATTATTGTAGATGAATATGCTTGATCTCTGTCACTGACTAGATATATTTAAAGTAGGGCTGTCAACTTTAGTCGTTTAGTCGACTTATCGGTCGATGCCGTCTTGGTCGACTGACATTCTCATTGGTCGACCAGTTGCATTATTTTTTTTATTTTTTTTTACCAATAGAAAGAAATTTTCATTGATTTACTCCTTGATATTTATTCCTTTATAAGCAGTTATATATTACTGTATTTAAATATAATTAGCCTGTTTTATCCCCAACTTTAAATGCTGTAATTTAGGCTATTTTGTAGCAGCGCCACAGTTTAGCGCACCACGCAGAACACACGGGAACCGCACCTGTGGCTGCACTGCTGCTGCGGCGCGGGCGCGCTTGGAACAAACGAGCGCGTCGCTTCAATTATGAGTGCGCATACCGCGCGCCTACATTTGAAATAACGAACTTGAGCGTGCAAAAGACGCGATATGTGAGCAGGCCCTTTAACGGCTTTATCATGCTGACTCAACAGATCGTGTTTTCTTATGTTTTTGTTTTTATTTGTACACTTGACGCGTTTGAAAATAGCCTAAATAATGTAACAAAACGAAAATAAACCTATATGCGGTCCTACTATACAGCCTATTATTATTAGGATTGTTTTTTAGGCCATTTGGCTTTTTTGTGTTTGTTTTAAAACGCCTAGATCGGCTGGACAAAAGTTAACCCATAGCTTTGAACGTAAAGAATATACAGCCTGTATAAACGAGAGCTTTTGTTAGGATTTGTCATTATTTGGCAGTTTTAGCAGTTATATATTTGTGTAGCGTGTGGTGTGGTCAGGTGCGCGATTGTGACTGTCACTATAGACCTAGGACAGAGCTCCTCACTTTGCAGTTAAAAAAAATCACTTCATTTTCAAAGAATTGTATTATTACCGTATTATAGTTTTATGTATTATTGATGTTTTTTCGTTGTTGTTTTATAAATGCTATATGACAATTGTTTAATAAATGTTCAATCAAAATGCAAAACATCGCGTCTTTTTTATTTTTATTTTTTTAGTCGACTGATCGTTGCTCAGGACAGGACTTTGGTCGACTAAGGATTTCTTTGGTTGACTACAGCCCTAATTTAAAATAATGTCGGACACTTTTACTGGTAACATCAGACATCTGGCATTATCAGGACCCACAAATATTCCCCCATCGCATTATTATACATTATATATAGCAGTTTAATGTAGTACTGACACTAAAACTCTGAAAACTTGAATTTTTATTTTAGGTGAACTATTCTCAATACATATTGTCAATAGCTATGATGCATTTTTGTATTGCGATATATGTGACCCTGGACCACAAAACCAGTCACATGGGTACATTTTTTGAAATTGAGATTCATACATCATCTGAAAGCTAAATAAATAAGCTTTCCGTTGATGTATGGTGTGTTATGATAGGACAATATTTTGCAGATATACAACTATTGAACATCTGGAATCTGAGGGTGCAGAACAATCAAAACATTGAGAAAATCCCCTTTAAAGTTGTGCATTTATGTTCACGATTATGCAGCATTCACTCACAAAAATAAATGTTTTATATATTTACGGTAGGAAATTTACTAAATATCTTCATGGAACATGATCTTTACTTAATATCCTAATGATTTTTGACATAATTTTGATCCATACAATGTATAGTTGGCTATTGCCACAGATATACTCGTGCGACTCGTGACTGGTTTAGTGATCCAGGGTCACACTTTGTTACACCCCCACTGTAATCAGACATCTACAACAGTGCCGATTGCTGTGCTACCTCGCCCTCTCGATGGCCTCTGTTCTGTGGACGTTGCTGAGCTGTCCGAGACAGAAGCGGTCTCCTCCTGAGGGATCCACGTATCCGTCCACCGTCACGACCGGGCAGGAGGAGGGCACTTTAAACGTCTCGCCCACTTGAACATCCATCTCGAAATAAGCAATGGAGCACCAGTATTCAGGAGCTGCTCGAGGCGAGAAGATCATGAGACATCCGATGATGATTATGACTGGAATATGATCATAAGAGAGTGAAACTCTTACCAGGATGGTTGGATATCGGTGGCTGAAACCCGATTTCGCTGTGAACAGGCCCTGAGGAGAAGATTAAGATTATGAGAAAGTGCATACAGTCAAACCAAAAATTATTCAGACACCAGATATATTTTTTTCCCTAGTGTGTGCAGGACACTATAGTTCACTTATGTACGTGAGGAGAGCAAAATAAAGTCAAATGTGACATATTATACCTAAATATTCTTCATAAAGCGTCTACCAGTAAAAATTTGGGACCAAAAATCAATGATTCCTCCACTTTGAGCTGATGATGTTCTGCTGAAGTGTGTTTTCTTTAATTGCTAATGCTCTTTTTACACACAGACTGAAGAACATGAAGCATTGCTTGGTCACTGGTTGAGCTAAACTGGTATTATCTAATTGTGTAGTTAAATTTACCAGCTGACAGATATTCAACATAATTCATGTGTGAGAGTCTAACAGAAGGACGGACAAAACCAGTCAAATATCAATTCGTATTTTATTACCATTTGCTAAACTATATCGAATAAACAGATACTGTGAGTAAAGGTGTCTGAATAGTGTTTGGTCTGAGTGTGTTTTAGTGTGTCACGACACTAGAATTTCTAACTTTGATACGATACCTTGAAAAATATCGATATTCGATACCAAAAAACTGCCACAATATTAACCAGAGCGAATGAGACGAGTGCGTCACGTGTGGTGTTTGTCAACGTGCCTTTGGAGAGAAGTGAAAGTGACTGCTCGGCTAGTATCGATACTTTGGGAAATTAGTATTGGTACCGTTCAGATATTTCAGTATCGATATTTATCGAAATATCGATATTTTTGACAACACTAGTGTGTTCGGATCTGGTGTAGTGCTGGCCGAGAGCTGCTCACAGTAGTGTGCCGGATGTGCCATGGGCGGGTGATGCTGGAGATGCCCGTTCTGATGGTGAGGAACGCTGGGAGGGAAGTTATTGTTCCTCGTCCAGGTGGAGGTGGCGTCTGTGGACAGAAGAAGAGACACCGGACCTGCGGTCGTCAAGCAGACTTTACTCGTGCCTGAATGTGCTGGAAGCAGGAGATGCTGAAAAGCTTTCGGTTTTGAAATCAAATTTAAGGCTTTTTAAGACCTGGACAAATTAAATGAATACCATATTGGGGAGGGGATGTAGATCAATGTTCATGATGACATCTTAAACCGTAAAGACAACTTTACAGGTCGAGTAATACATTTAAATAAATAAAAAACTCACATTTCAGCCTTTAAACCATTATACACAATCGTTTTTTACATTTTTAATGTTTTTTAAAGTCTCTTCTGCTCACCAAGGTTGCATTTATTTGATCAAAAATACAGTAAAAATACAAAATATTATTAGACTGTAAATCAGCTGTTTTCTATGTGAATATACAGTAAAGTCTAATTTATTCCTGTGATCAAAGCTGTATTTTCAGCATCATTACTCCAGTCTTCAGTGTCACATGATCCTTCAGAAATCACTCTAATATGAGGATCTGATGCTCAAGAAACATTTATGATTATTATCAGTGTTGAAAACAGTTTTTTTCAGGATCCTTTGATGAATAGAAAATTCAAAACAATAGTATTTATCTGAAATAGAACATTAAACACTTGTAAATGTTTGGGATCAGTAAGAATTTTTTGTTTTTGAAAGAAATTAATACTTTCATTCAGCAAGGACGCATTAAATTGATCTAGAGTGACAGTAAAGACATTTATAATGCATTTTGGATTAAATAAAAGCAGCCTTGGTGAGCAGAAAAGACTTTCTAAACAATCCACTGGTTTAAATGTATAACACTGCATGTAAGTTGCATAAAAATATTCTATCTTCGCATTGGTCTGAACAAAAATGGTGCTTATGGAACTTATGGTAATGGTTACCTCTGCAAACAAAGCTTTATTAGGCATTATACAGAGGTAATGTGAAAAGATGATGCCATGTAAGCTTTCCTCACTGATGGGCGACGAGTTGTCAGGTATCATATAAACATAATTGTCATAATTCATCAACGGATCAAAGCAAACACTTGTCATGAATGAGTGGTGAACAAACCATTTTTACTTTGAAACATGCAGTGCTCACATTCATTTACATCATCGCATAAGCCATATCGTGTTTTTCCATCCCCAAATCTAAGACCTCTTGTAATTAAGACGTTTCTTACAGCATTTAAGATATTTAAGACTTCTATGATCTTAAATTTGATCAGACTAAGAGTTTTTAAGGAGCCAGGGTTGCAACGGTATGATGATATATCACGGTATGAACATGTACGATTATCATATTGTGCACGTTTGCTTATCTACGGTAATATTGGGAAAAATAAATCACATATGCAACTTCTTTCCACTTGACTGCTTAGACTTTCAACCTGCGTACAGCGAAAAGAAGTTATAATTTGCAGTATGGGAAGACTAGATGTAGAAAGACTAGATGTAGATAGACTAGATGTAGAAAGACTAGATGTAGAAAGACTAGATGTAGATAGACTAGATGTAGAAAGACTAGATTGTAGAAAGACTAGATTGTAGAAAGACTAGATGTGGTTGTCCAAGAGGATAGATATTTAATTCGCAAAAATGTGGACGCAAAAGGAGGAAACGCATCGAACATGTTTGCTTATATTGGAGAACAGTGCAAATCTCTGAGCGGAGTGAGTGAGTGGAGGCAGGGCTCATTTGCATATTCAAAGAACCGCGTATAATAAATGAGGCAAGGGTGTCGAGTTACATTCAAGCTGGCATGAAGACATTTGAAATACTTAGATGTTTGTCAAAATAAAAGTTTGGTTTAGAAATTGACAAATATATTACTATTGTACTTCTCAAAATAATAATTATAACAACAATGATAATACACTTTATTTAAACATTAAGGAATATAATTTTTTGTCCATGTTTTAGTTGTTGTTGAACTCTTTGCCAAAAAAATAAAAGGATAAAAGTTATACAATTAAAATGTTAGTTTTATGATTGCCACCGTTTTTGATCATATATTTGTGTTAAATCATCAAAAAAATTCTGAATAAGATCCATATAGGCTAGAACAATTTAATAAATTATTAATGATAAAAATAAGTTGATAAATGGTTTCAAGTTTGTTATAATAAAGCATTTGTTCCACCAAAAAAACTGTTTTTATTAATCTGAGGGTCATTTTTAACTGATAAGTATTGATTGTTGAAAGCGGCGGTTGATTATGATTTCACTGTTCTAGCTGTAGTGAGTGTGTAATGTTGCTGTTTGAGCACAAACTACATCTGCAAAGTTACGACGCTTAAAGTTCAGAGCAAAGGGAGAGATGTGCTTTTACAGAAATCACTTTTTAAGGACTACAACAAACGGCTGGTAGAACTACACGAGCTTCCTCCCGGTTAGTGACATCACCAACCCTAACATTTACATAAACCCCGCCTCCAGGAACACGATTTATAGATGATCATGACAGAATATGCTAATCAATGACTAGAAGATAACTACACATAAGCTACATAAATTCATCAACTAACCATCAGAAATGTTTGTCACATCTTCTCGAGTCTCTCCATCTTTGTCTGACTCCGGTTTGAACATAAAAGGCTAAAGGTTTTTGAAATCTTCAGTGTGTGTGTGAGTGTGTGAGGTAAAAGGACACCAGCTGTTGTAGCTCCGCCCCCTGTGCTGGGAGCAGCAGCTCATTTGCATTTAAAGGGACACACAAAAACGGTGTGTTTTTGCGCACCCTCAAAAAGTGACGATTTTAACATGCTATATAAAAATATCTGTGGGGTGTTTTGAGCTAAACCCTCACACACACACTCTGGGGACATCAGACTAATTTTACATCTTGTGAAAAGGGCATTATACCAGCCCTTTAATACCATATCCGGTGATATTTTTCATACCGTGAAAGTCTCATACCGTTGCAACCCTATAGCCAGTGGGTGGAGGTTCACTGATGGCTTACTGTGATGGTACGTGGAGGTCTGGCCTGGCGGGAAGCCGTTCTGCTGAGAGCCCGGCCCTGTCCCAGATGCAATCAGCAGACTCTCACTGCTATGGCTTGCTGTCAGAACACTACCGGGCTGAGCTGGGGAGAGAGGCGGCATGCACACATCAACACACACACACACACACACCATTAAACACTAGGACTGGGTGACAGGACCACAAGCGTGCATCACAGCACAGGTGCTTTAATAACTATGCCAGTGTTTTAACTCATAATATATACAAATTTCAGCAACTGCAAATGACTTTTGAGTTGCACGAACAAAGTTCACAAACATGGTCACAAACTACCTTGTAACCAATCAGATCAACGTGTGATCAACAACGAGTGGATCTCTGAGCTGAGTGAGTGAGTGGAGGCGGGGCTCATGATTTTTCATGTAATCATGTAATCACACTGAACCTCTCCGGCCATAGCGCCCAGCCCTATTAGACAGCGATGAAGAATATGACTAGGGATGCACAGATATGAAAAATTTGGTAGATACCGATAACCTAGGGGTGGGCGATATGGCAAAAATATCATATCACGATTTTTTTCAGGAAAATCACGATTAACGATTTTATCACGATTCTTTTTCATGTTGGTTTTACTATTTTGCAAGTGAAAAAAGCCTTATAGGTAACAAAAGAAAAAAGAATGGCAGACATTTAGGCCAAAGTGGCGAAGATAATAATCTTTATCATTATTTTCTTTGTTATTAAGAATTAGGAATACACATTAAGCATACACAACTGAATATACAAATGAAATAAACAGTGCTTTATTTTTTCAGCTACAGTAGGGGTATTTAACAGTAGCATTGAAGAAAGTAATTAGGCTAAATGAACAAACACGAAAATAAAACACAACATAGACTTCACTGTATAAATTATACATTGATTATTATTAAAGCTACTACTAAAGTTCTCAGTCAAGAGCAGTGAGTGATTTCCTCTTTGTGTTTTGTTGTTTTATTAACATTAAAGGGATAGTTCCCCCAAACATTTTAATTGTCATCATTTACTCTCTCAAGTTGTTTTAAACCCGAAAATGTTTCTGTTGAAAAAAAAAATTATTTGGAAGAATGTGGCTAACCAAACAGTTGCTGTACTCCAGTGACTTCCATAGTATATATGTTTTCCTACTATGGAAGTCAATGGGGACCAGCAACTGTTTGGTCCCACATTCTTCCAAATAACTTTTATTTTCAACAGAAGAAAGAAATTAATACAGGTTTGGAACAACATTAGAGTGAGTAAATAATGACAGAATTTTTATTTTTGGGTGAACTATCTCTTTAAGGACAAGAGGCAGCTTGTTTACTAACTGGCTACTGTCGCTTTAAGAGCTGCACGCGACGCGTCTAATATACACTCATTTGACAAGCAGATTTTCTCTCATTTTTTTTCTGTTTGCTTTCACTTTAGACATAACCAACTTTGTTTATGTAAACCTTGTGTGTATTTGACAATATTAGCGCAATAAGACTCGAAAGATAACTTATAACGTAGTCCAGTAAACAGACGCTGTTAGACAGGCTTTTAGTGCCCGTGTGCTTCGGGTGTATGTGCTCAGAAAGCACACGTCAGAACAGCGCATCAGCAGTGAATTACATGTTTAACCAGCAAGGCTTTAAAGCACATGCAAATAATGAACTTCTGTGAACTGCAGTGTCCCGTTCCTCTGCGTTAACATCTGTTGTATGTTGAGACGGAGCTCGGCGCCAGAACTGCAACTGATAAAATGCACGATACTACGATATTTCTTCAAAAGCAGATCGTGGAGACATTTTAATCGTCCACGATCAAAAACCGTGATATCGCACACCCCTACTTCAAAGGGCTTTAAACGATACCAGACGATGAATGATGATGGTCTTATTTAGCGAAACGATCGGTCATTTCAAAAATAAATAAAGTTAAAGTTTTATAAGCACAAATGCTCGCCTTGCTCCGTTCTGTGAGACCTTTTCAACGTAATTGTGTATTACGTGACGTCACGAACGCGCATCACAGAACAGAGCAAGGCGAGCATTTGTGCTTAAAACTTAAACTTTTTTATTTATTTTTTAAATGACCGATCGTTTTGCTAGATAAGACCCTTATTCATCATCTGGTATCGTATAGTAAATTATCAACAAAAGTTTTTTTTAAAGTGAACTAATCCTTTAAAGTTATCGGCCCGATAAGAAAATTTGGCCGATCTATTAAAGCCGATATATAATGTATTATATCCTTCAGCTGAGACTCTTCAGATGCGCACTGTTCAACATGATGATTATGAACTGCTTGAAACATGATTGGAATCACTTCAAAAAAGCCAAATGCAGTTCAGTGCAACATGTGCAGCGCAGTCATATCGGCTACATAACATTATAATGAGAACATCGTAATTGTGTGTTTGGGACGTGACTTTTAATGATGAGACTTTTGTTTTTGTAATCAGGCTCTCAAAAATTATATAAAACATTTAGATTTACGACCAATATATCGGTTATTGGCTTTCAAATATAAAGAATTATCGGTTATCGTAGGGGTGTGCGATATCACGGTTTTTGATCGTGGACGATTAAAATGTCTCCACGATCTGCTTTTGAAGAAATATCGTAGTATCGTGCATTTTATCAGTTGCAGTTCTGGCGCCGAGCTCCGTCTCAACATACAACAGATGTTAACGCAGAGGAACGGGACACTGCAGTTCACAGAAGTTCATTATTTGCATGTGCTTTAAAGCCTTGCTGGTTAAACATGTAATTCACTGCTGATGCGCTGTTCTGACGTGTGCTTTCTGAGCACATACACCCGAAGCACACGGGCACTAAAAGCCTGTCTAACAGCGTCTGTTTACTGGACTACGTTATAAGTTATCTTTCGAGTCTTATTGCGCTAATATTGTCAAATACACTCAAGGTTTACATAAACAAAGTTGGTTATGTCTAAAGTGAAAGCAAACAGGAAAAAAATGAGAGAAAATCTGCTTGTCAAATGAGTGTATATTAGACGCGTCGCGTGCAGCTCTTAAAGCGACAGTAGCCAGTTAGTAAACAAGCTGCCTCTTGTCCTTAAAGAGATAGTTCACCCAAAAATAAAAATTCTGTCATTATTTACTCACTCTAATGTTGTTCCAAACCTGTATTAATTTCTTTCTTCTGTTGAAAATAAAAGTTATTTGGAAGAATGTGGGACCAAACAGTTGCTGGTCCCCATTGACTTCCATAGTAGGAAAACATATATACTATGGAAGTCACTGGAGTACAGCAACTGTTTGGTTAGCCACTTTCTTCCAAATAATTTTTTTTTTCAACAGAAACTTATTCGGGTTTAAAACAACTTGAGAGAGTAAATGATGACAATTAAAATGTTTGGGGGAACTATCCCTTTAATGTTAATAAAACAACAAAACGCAAAGAGGAAATCACTCACTGCTCTTGACTGAGAACTTTAGTAGTAGCTTTAATAATAATCAATGTATAATTTATACAGTGAAGTCTATGTTGTGTTTTATTTTCGTGTTTGTTCATTTAGCCTAATTACTTTCTTTAATGCTACTGTTAAATACCCCTACTGTAGCTGAAAAAATAAAGCACTGTTTATTTCATTTGTATATTCAGTTGTGTATGCTTAATGTGTATTCCTAATTCTTAATAACAAAGAAAATAATGATAAAGATTTTTATCTTCGCCACTTTGGCCTAAATGTCTGCCATTCTTTTTTCTTTTGTTACCTATAAGGCTTTTTTTTTAAATAGGGACATTAGTTTGGCTGTAATGCTCAGTCACTTGCAAAATAGTAAAACCAACATGAAAAAGAATCGTGATAAAATCGTTAATCGTGATTTTCCTGAAAAAAATCGTGATATGATATTTTTGCCATATCGCCCACCCCTACTTTGAAGCTGCACTGAAACTGTCATTTGGACCTTGAACCGTTTGGACCCCATTGAAGTCCATTATATGGAGAAAAATCCTGGAATGTTTTCATCAAAAACCTTAATTTCTTTTCGACTGAAGAAAGAAAGACATGGACATCTTGGATGACATGGGGGTGAGTAAATTATCAGCAAAAGTTTTTTTTTAAAGTGAACTAATCCTTTAAAAATGAACATATATCGGCCGATACCAATATATCGTGCATCCCTAAATAAGACGCTTACACAAACGAGAAAGCTTTTCAGCATGGCCCATGCGATTAACTGATATACTGAGGAATATACTTATAATGTTATGTAGCCGATTTGACAGACCTGCGCTCCACATGTTGCACTGAACTGTATTTTCCTTTTTTTAAAGTGATTTCAATCATATTTCAAGTAATTCAAAACCTTAATGTTGAACAGTGCGCATCTGAAGTAATAGGAATACATTATTTATCTGGCTTTAATATATAAGAAAATCGGGCCGATATTGTAAAAAATGAACATACACTACCGTTCAAAAGTTTGGGGTCAGTGAGAATTTTTTTTTTTTTTTTTGGAGGAAAGAAATCAATACTTTTATTTATCAAGGAATAATTAATTTGATTGAAAGTGACAGTAAAGACATTTATAATGTTACAAAAGTCTTTTGAACTTCCTATTCATCAAAGAATCCTAAAAAAAAAGAAGAAAAACTGTACAACTGACAGACCAACAACTGTTTCAACATTGATAATAATAATAAATGTTTCTTGAGCATCAAAATCCTCATATTATACTGATTTGTGAAGGATCATTTGACACTGAAGACACTGACACTGGTGATGCTGAAAATTCAGCTTTGATCACAGGAATAAATTACACTTTACTATATATTCACATAGAAAACAGCTGATTTACACTGGAATAATATTTAATACTATAACTGATTTTTGTAGTATTTTTAATCAAATAAGCGCAGCCATGGTTAGCAGAAGAGAATTATTTTAAAAGTATTTAAAATCGTACCGACCCCAAACTTTTGAACGGTAGTGTATATATCGGCCGATTCCGATAAACCGTGCATCCCTAAATATGACGCCTACACAAAGGAGAAAGCTTTTCAGCATGGCCCATGCGATTAACTGATATACTGAGGAACTGTGTGTGTCGTACTTGTGGATCCGACCGCGATGTTGGAGAAGGCGGAGCTGGAGGCGGAGCTGCTGCCCTCTGCTGGCGGGAGCATGGCCGGCGTGCTGAAGGGCTCCGGGGCCACCGGTCTCGAGGGAGGGTGTTGAATCGTCTGCATGTGTCCCTCCGTGCTGGGCAGAGACTGCTGCGATTCATAATCATATTCATCCTTCACCATAAGGCCCGATGGACCTGAAAGACATCATATAGAGATACACATTCCATGTCAAGTGTATGAAAATGCATATGAAACACATTTTACTTCTGTAATGTTATTTTAAGGAGACTTTTGAATGGTAAACAATCACGTGTATCGGTATATTAGATCAGTGCATTCGGTCTTAAAGTGACAGTAGCCTAATAAACCTGCTGCTGTCTGTGTCATTAAAGACACCATGAAATCAAAATTGGCACTTATTATTTTATGTGTTATCTATAGTGTTTATAGTAATATCGCTTTTATTGTAAATTATTTATCGGTGCACATTATTATTGTTTTTAATAATCTTGAATCAGAATAAGTTCCTCTTGCAGCATCTCTTCTCTGATTATGTGGGCGGGGCCACCTGTCACTCACATGAGATCAGCCAATCGCAAACCACCACCATCCAATCAAGCCCCGCCCACATTTTTGTGGTCAAAATTGGCATTTTAAATTGTGAAATTTTACTGTGGAATATTATTGTTAAATAAATATACTCATATTGTGCTTTAAAGTCCCCCTGTAGTCAATAATTTATCTCTTAAAATTCAACTTTGATCTCTAAAATTACATTTACAAAAATTTCTTCATGTCTTGGAATATCTTGAATGTAACTCGACACCCTTGCCTCATTTAGTATACACGGTTCTATGAATATACAAATGAGCCCCGCCTCCACTCCCTCAGCTCAGAGATCCACTGGTTGACGATCACACGTTGATCTGATTGGTTACAAGGTCGTTTGTGACGTCAGAAACACCAGCGATTTCAAACCGTGTTTTTGAGACTGTCTTTGGTTCACTGCAGTTTTAAGCAGAAAATACTCAGCAATGCTGTCGACTTATGAACTTACACATGGTGTGTCTTACAGCGTATTAAAAACACCACATAGACACATAAACAACATTAAACGCTGGATTTACACCACAGGGGGACTTTAAAATTTTTGGTCAGCACCACAAGGAATGAATAAAAAAAAAAAGATTTCATGTTGACTTTAAATTAAATCTCTTTAAAACACGGCAAAAACAACCAGAAAGTCTTTTCCAAGAGAATATCACTCACCAGAGCCTGACAGTGTGAGTCCAGATAAATCTAGATTAGAAGAAAATACAGGATAGATGAGGACACAATGAACGATCTTAAGGCTATTAAAAAACAAACATCACACTGTCTACGTTTACATGCAACCAAATCATCCGTTAGTAATGGGTTTGACGGCTCAATCGCACTGAAAAGCCTTCATGTAAACACCTTAATCGATCCGATTGTCTTCTAGTTCAATCCCTTAGAAGCCTATGGAGGAGTGATCCAGCTCTCAGATTTAATCAAAAATATATTAATTTGTGTTCCGAAGATGAACGAAAGTCTTACGGGGTTGAACAACATGAGGGAGAGTCATTACTGACAGGGTGAACTATCCCTTTAACAACAAAACGATCACAAACATTAAAGCAATCATAATCATTTAACCTTATGTTTACAATTATTCAACGTCAAACAACTGCAACTTATAAACTGCAGCACACTGACCGATCCCCGGAGACACGACTCTCTCGTAATGGTAGGGGTTCACACAGACGCTGTCACATTTGAGGTCAAAGGCAAACTGGCAGTACTTGACGTGTTTCAGCTCGTTCTTATGAAGGTCCGGCCATCGCCATAACCGTGCATAGATGACATGTGGAAATCCTTTACGACCGGCCACCTAACACACACACACACACACACACACACACACACACACACACACACACACACACACACACACACACACACACACACACACACACACACACACACACACACACAGAAGACTAGAGTTCAGACATTCAGACTGAAATATTGATTCAACAACACATGTGCACGTACACCAGTGTTGTAGTCGAGTCACCAACTGTCGAGTCCGAGTCGAGTCTCGAGTCCCAGTGTTCGAGTCCGAGTCACCAAAGAAGAGTCCGAGTCGAGTCCAAGTCGAGTCACCATTACCGGAGTTCAAGTCCGAGTCAAGTCTCGAGTCCCGTGTCCGAGTCGAAATTATATACACTTAAGCCAAATCAAGCAACATTTTTCAGGCACTCTTTCTTGCAGCTAGAAATGTGTATGATATATCACTAGAATTGCCTTTGACCTTAGTTCAAATCATTGTAGCTGTGGCACGATTATATTTATTTAATTGTTTAAATACATTTTTGGATGATCAGTCCAAAAATGGTAAGTAATAAACTTACTTACTTACAGTCAACTGGAATGGATAAAGAAAACAAAAAAGAAAGCCTAACTGGACAGAGGAGGAGAAATGCATTCTTCTTGACAAATATGGTAAAAGAAAAACAATTTTGAAATTTTGAAAAGCAAACTATATATATGTAACTGCGGCAAAAAACAGAAAATGCAGTGCTATAAGCAGTTGTAACTCCGCAGGAAAAGAGTGCGGTTGCGATGTGTGACATAGTCAAGGTCGCTGTCTAGTTTGTTAGCTAAAATAAACATAATTGTGTTATTGTATGATAAGCGGGATGAGCGCGTCCGACTTTGGCTCAGCGCCAGCCATAGCACGAAAGCACAGTTAAAAATCAGTGATGTCACGTCACTGTACGTTTTCTCCTTAGTGTTCAGCTCAGCTGCTGCAAAGCGTGCCAAAATCGAAATCTCTGATTAGATGTAGAGGAACTTCTCTAGTGTTAAATGAGTGTTACGTTATCTCTCTCACGAGAATGCGGCGTAAAGTGAGTGACGTCAGTGAGTGTGTTGTCAAGCAAGGAGAGCGAGCGCCGAGCGGTAGCAGTGTCTGTGAGAAAAAAAATAGATTACAGCCGGTCTTGGACCCCGAAACAGGAAAAGTGTAACATTGTATATCAAATTTTTATAACCTATTTAGTTAGAAACAACGTCATTCATTTGATGAATGCTCAAGTCCGATTTTATATATTCTCGAGTCCGAGTCCAAGTACTAGTCATCAGTCCGCGAGTCCAAGTCGAGTCACGAGTCCAGAGCATGGAGTCTCGAGTCGGACTCGAGTCCAGAGAATAAGGACTCGAGTACTCCATCACTGACGTACACTTGATTAGATTTTTAATGTTTGTAAAAGAAGTCTCTTCTGCTCACCAAGGCTGCGTTTATTTGATTAAAAATACCAAAAAAATTATAAAATTGTTTAATATTATTCCAGTGTAAATCATCTGTTTTCTATGTGAATATCTAGTAAAGTGTAATTTATTCCTGTGATCAAAGCTGAATTTTCAGCATCATTACTCCAGTCTTCAGTGTCACATGATCCTTCAGAAATCACTCTAATATGAGGATCTGATGCTCAAGAAACATTTATTATTATTATCAATGTCGAAATCAGGATTATTTGATGAATAGAAAGTTCTAAAGAACAGCATTTATTTGAAATAGAATCTTTCGTAATATTATATATGTCTTTACTGTCAATTTTGATCAATTTAATTCATCCTTGATGAATAAAAGTATTGATTTATTTTAATTATTTCCCCCCCAAAAAAAAAAAAATTCGTACTGACCCCAAACTTTTGAACGGTAGTGTTTAATGTTACAAAAGCTTTCTGTTTCAGATGAATGCTGAAGAATCCTGAATAAAAATGTTTAACACTGATAATAATCATAAATGTTTCTTGAGCATCAGATCCTCATATTAGAGTGATTTCTGAAGGATCATGTGACACTGAAGACTGGAGTAATGATGCTGAAACTCAGCTTTGATCACAGGAATAAATTACACTTTACTAGATACTCACATAGAAAACAGCGGATTTACACTAGAATAATATTTCACAATATTACGTTTTTTGTTTTTAAATAAACACAGCCTTGGTGAGCAGAAGAGACTTCTTTTAAAAACGTTTAAACCCTACCGATTCAAACCTTTTGTCTGGTGGTGTGTGTGAGGTGTGTGTACCTGCAGCCGGCCGTCTAGCGTTCTCTGTATGGTCACACACTTGCTGGGATGAGCGCCGTTAGTGGTGATGGCCGTGATGAGAGAGTCCAGCTCGTCCTTCTTCTCCTTCAGCTTCTTCACCAGGCTCTCGATGGCCCGCTTGGCGAAGGTCTCGCTCTCGCCGCCCTGCCGGTGGCACATCAGGCTGTGGACGATGCTCAGACACGCGTCGTTACTGGTGGGCGTGTTTGTGATGGACATCATGCGCTGGTTGTCGGCCTCGGAGTGATCGAGGCTCCCGGTGCCGTTTGAACTCGGTTCAGCAAGACACTGCCGTCAGTGAAGCGGCCATTCACACGCCCTGTGAGGAAGGATGGAGATTAATAGAGAGATATTGAGGGGTAATAATAATAATTACACACACATAATATATGAATTACCGGCCAAAAGTTTGGAAACATTACTATTTTTAATGTCTTCTGCTCATTAAGCTAGAATTTCTTTTCACACAAATTACAGAAAACAGTAATATTGTGAAATATTTTAGTAAAGTGTAATTTATTCCTGTGATCAAAGCTGAATTTTCTGCATCATTACTCCAGTCTTCAGTGTCACATGATCCTTCAGAAATCACTCTAATATGATGATTTGATGGGAAAGAAACATTTCTCATTATTATCAACGTTGAAAACAGTTCATATTTGTATTGAAACTGTGATACATTGTATTTTTCAGGATTCTTTGATGAATAGAAAGTTCAAAAGAACAGCATTTATTCCAAAAAGGAAATCTTTTCTAACGATATAAATCTTTACTATCCTTTTTTTAATCAATTTAACACATTCTCACTGAATAGAGGTATTAATCATTTCTTTCAAAAAAAGTTACCCTAAAAACTTTTGAATAGTAAAGTATATTACAAAACGATTTCTATTGTAAATAAATGCAGTTCTTTTTAAACGTTTTATTCATGAAAGAATCCTGAAAAAAGTATCCCAGGTTATAAAAAATATATTAAGCGGATTTCAAATATTAAAATTGTTTCCAACATTGATCATAAATCAGCATATTAGAATGATTTGTGAAGGATCATGTGACACTGGAGTAATGATGCTGAAAATCCAGCTTTGATCACAGAAATAAATTATATTTTAAAGTATATTCAAATAGAAAACCATTACTTTAAATTGTAATAATATTTTCACAATATTACAGTTTCTTCTGTATTTTTGATCACAGAAATGCAAGCTCGATGAGCATAAGAGTCTTTCGAAAACATTAAAAAAGTAAGGTTTCCAAACTTTTGACGTGTACTACTTATATATAAACTTGTGTATATTAACATATAAAATATATGTTGTACCTGATGTTTAAAGCAAATAAAAGCACCCAAATACATAAAAAGCAGAAAGTTATCAATACACTGAGGACAAACATCGTGTAAACTAATGTTTTAATTCGATAAAGCGTCTCACACCACAACAATCCTTCACACACTTGATTCCAGACAGAGTGCAGAGACTTACACATGTGGAGATGTGCAGTGAACTCGTGAATGCGATGACAGTGATTTATAAATGAGCTGAAGAGAATGTAAACAACCCGAGATCTGTGCTAGCACATCCTGCTAACGTTACATGCTAGCTCACGAACTGCGCTTACTTCACACTGTAACTTCTACTAGAGTGATAAAAACACATGTAAATGTCAAAGTGAGTGTTTAAAGTGCATACCTGTTGCGTCTCCTGGGAATGAATATGTCTTCGTGTATCCAGTTTGGGGGATTTTGATGTGAATCTTGTTAGCTGCTAGCACTACAGCGCGTAACGCTAACACACTTCAGCCGGACTAACGCGTTTATCTGATCTCTAAAACGGTTTAAAGCGACAAGAGTTCTTCATTTGAGCGATAACCCTGTTAGACTGGGGATCAGCATAGTATTTATAACCGGGTGAAAACAGTCACTGAGCGCCACGAAAATAAACAATGTAGCCGCGATGTTTTCGACGCACTCTCACGCCCAGCTGCGCAATATGGCGAACTGCGCATGCGCACTGTGCTTCAAACCCGCTCAAAACACACCGAGCTATGCTGTATACCTCAACAAGTTATACATTTTGTAAGACCTTGTGAAAGAGGCCATGTATTATGTTAAAGACAGCATGTTTCTGGAGACATTGATATTCTGAAACACAGTTGTGCTAATAAACATTAGGAATATTTTAACAGGTGAAACAGCTACTAATACTCATAAAAGCACATTGTGGACCAGTGTATAGAAATATAAACTGGAATAAAGCTTGGTGTGTTTGTGAAGCATACGGTGTAAATAATAAAGTAAAAGAGGTTACATTTAAAATTTAATATGGTATAGGGGCGAGCGGGGGACAACCTAACACACTTAGGTTTTGGCTCAATTATTTAAAAAATAATTAAGTTAGATTAATCTTTATTTTTACACAAGCAACATACACATCTCTGCTACAAAATGAACACTTAAAGTTGTTTTCTAGGACCTTCCATTTCCGTACAGTTGCACTGAAAGACAGAAGTGTGAATGGTCCAACTTACCCCATATGCGGGGTTAATTGTAACAGAGAGAAGGGTTAGTGCGAACACTTGTGTGTAACACACATAATTCAGTACGATTTTATCTGTATAGTTTGATATTGTTTGTGCATCTGTATATATATATATCCATCCATCCATCCCTCATCCAATCATCCTTCTATTATACATCAATATCATGGATAGAGAGATAGGAAAGGGCTGCACAGTTTTGCAATAAATAAATAAAATCATCAAATATTGTAATTGCTATTGAATTATAATTGTGTGTGGCAGCTGCATGCAAAATTATTATTATTAATAATAACTGAAGCATTAATAAAAACGAGCTTCAAAATCACATTTTAAAGGGTTTATTGCATGAAAAAAAGGCTTTTTAATAAATAAACAAGTGATCAATGCATAGTAAACAAATGTGGAAAAAAATCATTGTTTGTTTGTGAAAGTCCAACAAAGTTAAATGTGGCAAAATAAATAAATACTCAAACCTGAAAAGTTGTGTCTCCCTGTTTTCATTTCATTATTTGTGCACTTGTCGGGTTGTTATACAACTAACCCGCTGTGTAACACATATTTTAAGCTAACAGTTGCTATGAGTTGCTCATATGTTTCAAAACGGTGCAGTGTTTTAGCCAACAAGACACTGATGAAGGCAATAGAGTTAGATTTGGTGACGTACACACACAACTCAGAAATGGAAAATAACGTATGATGAAAAAGTGTACTTGCATGATGTCAAAACCCGAATCGTGAGACCGTGTTCTGGCAGCGAGAGAAGAAGAGCGGGAACACACCCTGCTTGACCCTGACTATGTAAAAGGTCCGTGTTACATTTAACCCCGGGTTAGGTTGTGCCCGCGCTCCCCTATATCCAGCTAAAAGTGTGTTAGAGAGGTTTAATTTAGATATTGATTATTCATGTGATTTCTGTTCAATAGAACATGTTCATATACACAAGAAGAAATGGTCAGTATCCAAGCCAAGTTTTATTCTTTTTCTTCAGGGGAATAAGAATTATTGCACCAGTCTGGAGAACATTATCAATAAGAAAGCAATATTTAAAAAAAAATTAATAATAATAATATTTTTTATTTTTATTAATTACTCAATTTGTACACTCTGTCATGTTTTTTTTTTTGGGGGGGGGGGGGGGGGGGGGGGGGTAAATTTATTATGTAAATTCTGTATTCTATATTGTATACTACTAAAGTCCGTTGGATAGTAAAAAAACGTTAAAAAAACAGAGCTGACTATATTTATTATGGATAGATGCACTTTTATGATGGACAGATGCACTTTTATGATGGACAGATGCACTTTTATGATGGATAGATGCACTTTTATCATGGATAGATGCACTTTTATTATGGATAGATGCACTTTTATGATGGACAGATGCACTTTTATGATGGATAGATGCACTTTTATGATGGATAAATGCACTTTTATGATGGATAGATGCACTTTTATGATGGACAGATGCACTTTTATGATGGACAGATGCACTTTTATGATGGACAGATGCACTTTTATGATGGATAGATGCACTTTTATGATGGATAGATGCACTTTTATGATGGATAGATGCACTTTTATGATGGATAGATGCACTTTTATAATGGAGAGATGCACTTTTATGATGGACAGATGCACTTTTATGATGGACAGATGCACTTTTATGATGGACAGATGCACTTTTATGATGGACAGATGCACTTTTATGATGGATAGATGCACTTTTATGATGGATAGATGCACTTTTATGATGGATAGATGCACTTTTATAAGGGAGAGATGCACTTTTATGATGGATAGATGCACTTTTATGATGGATAGATGCACTTTTATGAGGGATAGATGCAGTTTTATGATGGACAGATGCACTTTTATGATGGACAGATGCACTTTTATCATGGACAGATGCACTTTTATGATGGACAGATGCACTTTTATGATGGACAGATGCACTTTTATGATGGACAGATGCACTTTTATGATGGATAGATGCACTTTTATGATGGATAGATGCACTTTTATGATGGATAGATGGACTTTTATGATGGATAGATGGACTTTTATGGACTTCAAAACAGAAACGGTCATTCATTGCCATTATAAAGCTTGGAAGAGCCAGGACATTTTTTATTCTAACTCGGATTGTGTTCGTCTGAGGGCTAATTTTAATTTTAGGGTGAACTACTCCTTTAAAGGATCCATCTAGAACCGTTTCTTCTAAGAGTGTCATTGGACCCTGGATTGTAGCTCATCCCAGCATTAGATGGCCAGTGGAAGCGAAGGCATCGTTGGAAACGGTTGCTGTTGGGGCTCAGGAATCTGACGGCTCTCGCCTCCAACGACACACCACTTGGGATGAGGTCTCATCCTGAGTGAGGGGTTGCACACTTCTCGGTTTTTGACACCTCCTTATCTCAGCTGTGGAAGAGAACGTGTTTGTGGCTCGCATGGCATGCGGCCGTCAGGGGCGAGAGAACATCCGCGCTCGGAGGAAGAACGTTTGGGTTACAATCAATGTTATTTGATTGTGTGCGGCTGAAGTTAAGCAGATATAAATAGATACTCACTCTTAAAAATAAAGCTTCTTTCTCGGCATCGATGGTTACTTTAACATCCATGGAGCCTTATCGTTGGAAAACAGGTTCTTTAAACTAAGAAAATAATGGTTGTTTTAAAGAACTGATCACTGAAAGGTGCTTTGAAGGACCATTTTTGTTCCCCAATGGCATCACTGTGAAAAAAAAAAAAACTTTTGGAACCTTTATTTTATAAGTTTTCTGAAATGTTATGTTTGAATATGCAAAATATGCATTATCTAATTAAATATGCTTTCATTTGCATACATTTCCAGAACATTGGATAAAGCCATGTTGAAAATGTTGTTCAATTTTGTCAAAATTGTTTATTTTGTAAGAGTTATTATTAGTTATTATTATTAAAAATGCTTTAATTTGCATACATTTCCAGAACGTTGAACAAATTTTGTTAAATTTGGTCAAAATTGTTTAGTTTTGTTGACATATTAGAGTTTGCACTGGAATTGAAACCTACAGGCGCAAATGAAATAAACACTTAAAAGTGTATTTTGGATGCTTTCTTCAACTAGTCTGAAAGAACACGTTATGAAAAGCTAAACAGTCCAAAATCTCAAAACTCAAAACAAAAAATGTTTTGCGTGTAAGGTCTATATTTAGTTTAAACTTCTCTCATTATAAGTGACAAATGATTAGCAGTGTGTTGTATATTACAAGTAGGATGTGCAATAGAAAACGGAGTCATTTACAACAAGTAAATATACATGAGGCCTAAATAAAATGCAGTGTTTTACACACTAAACAGTCTTTCTCGGACTATCTGCATCCGCATTCCTTGACCACCATTCCTTCGTATTTATTATTTAAAACCACGACGCCGTTCTCGTTCTCATACAGGAGGGATATGGGCTTTAACTCGGTCGGCACACAGCAGGCTTGCGAGGCCCTCTGAGGACTCTTCAGATTGAGCAGCGTTTGGATGATGGCGTGTTTGGTGGGCGTCACTTCGCGAGCGAGAGGATAGTTGCACACGCCACGACAAGTGAACGCCTGATAACCAGACGGCGCCAAGATGAACGAGTCCCATTGGATATCCTTAAAATCCACGTACATCTCGGCTATCTTGCAGTCTTCCGCTCCAGCGCTGCGCCGAACTCTCGAGACGCCGTTGTTTAAGCGCACCTGCTCCTCATCTGTCCTCAGTTCGTTGTCCTCTTCCATCATACGATGTTCGCTTTGGTCATCTGAGAACACGATTAGCACCGGCTCGTGTTGTCCATCAGGATTCTTGTCGATGTACAGGTCTACATTCGTGTTCCTGAACGCGTTCAGATTTTCGATGTGAACCTCCAGCCTGGGGGTCACGATGTTGAGCTTTCGCCAATGTTGAAGAGCGTCCGTCATGTCAAAGACTTCCCACCCGCTGTCCTTACGGTGAACGTGCCTCGACGCCAGCGGGTCTCTCTCGCCTGTGCCGTAGCGCCCGCCCCGGTGCGTGTCGAATACGCTCACCTTCCACCCGGACCCGACGCGCTGGATCGAGTCTCTGTCGAGGAGTGTGTGAAGACGCAGCTCGGCGCTGACCACGCGCTCGTGTTGCGGCACGGAGAGGTTGAACAGGAGACGGTGTGTTCGCAGGCTCTTGCTCGAGGTGTGGTCTGTGGGAAAGACACGTTTTAATGAGAAATAAAAAAATAAAATAAAAACACCATTTGTCTGATGTCAATCTGGATAATACGGTGGCCGAGACAGCTCAACGCGCTGCAACTGAAGCAAACACATGCAAATAGAGAAAAACGTGTGCAAATAGAAAAAAACGCGTGCAAATAGAAAAAAACACCAGCAAATTAAAAAAAACATCTTCATCAGTTTCACAACACACGTGTGCTCCAAATAAGGAAACGCGCTGCAAAAGTTCACAACACAACCAAATACAGAAAACGCGCTGCAAAAAACACAGACCACAACGGAAATGTTTCCAGGGGAACCAAATAAGTGACGGACCCGGCTGAGACGTGCTTACTGCTCGTGAGCTTCCCTATGCCATACTCCCTTCGAAGGGCAGATATTAGAGCCCTTTTGGAGTGAGCAGGGCTCTAGTGTGCTGTTAGGCAGCCGTGTGGAGCGCACTTGATGAAGGAGCAACTAAAGACAACGTGGGATGTCCCCATGACAACGCAGCACGGTGTCCATCAGCTGGTCTTACGCAGAAATATGATGTTAACACAACGGATGCAAACACATTTTTATTTTTATTTTACAAAAAAAGCGTTTATTTTTATTTTATTTAAACTATGCGTTATATATCTGTGTCTCAACTTTAAAATTTTGGACCCTACATTACCTAACATTTCTTACGAAACTTTTCTTCATGAAAATGTAATAACATGAAACAATTTGTACAGTGTAACTGATATAGATAAATATCTTTCGTTCATGTTTTTCTTCTTTATCTTTTTTATTTATTTATTTTAGTTTCCAGCTCATTGTTCTTTTCTCATTTGTATTCTGATGACATTGAACATATTGTTAATACATTTTGTACATTGTATACAAGTTGTATGTCATAAAAAATGTAATCTCTGTATGTTTTGCACAAACAAATAAATAAAGTATAATTTTAAGCTGTAAGCACCAGCACGCATAGATTTATGGATATCTATGCCGGCACGTCCCAGCCGGGTTCGTCACTTATTTGGTTCGCCTGGAAACATTTCCGTTGTGCTCTGTGTTATTTGCAGCGCGTTTCTGTATTTGGTGGTGTTGTGAGTATTTGGAGCACACATGTGTTGTGAAACTGATGAAGATGTTTTCTTAATTTGCAGGTGTTTTTTTTATTTGCACGCGTTTTTTTCTATTTGCATGCGTTTTCTTCAGTTGCAGCGCATTGAGCTCTCTCGGCCACCGTAGGATAAGGAACAAACAGACACCAGGAGATAACACAAGAAACATTTAGATTTTTACAGTTTTTCTCGATTGCTTAAACACATTTCTTGAAACTATGCCTCGTATTCTCAAAACAGTAAACACAAATCCATAACGTCTCACCCAATTCCCCAAACATCCTATTTTCAGGTCAAAATGAAGCTCTACACTCAAAACCATTCACTCTTGCTGAAAAACCAAACTTTGCCCTCAGACAGCACACACAAGCCCTCAAAAATACACACACTACAACATAGTCTTACACACTGGTGCTATAAATTCAAAACAACATTTCCAAAACTGGTAAGTCATGTTGCTTGTGGTCCCCCCATTGTCTCTTATTCAGTGATAGAAATCTGTTTGCCACCACACCTTCCTGAAGGCTCTGATGATGGAGGCGACGGTGAAGCGACTCAAATTTGGCTGTACTCTTTGCCCAGCCTCCCTCATAGTCATACCATGGACAAGGACTAAAGTGGCTTGAATTTCATCCGAGACTGCTTGTCTTCTTGCCCTTCCTCCTCCTCCTCCTCCTCCTCCTCCTCCTCCTCCTCCTCCTCCTCCCTCCCTCCCTCCCTCCCTCCTCCTCTTCCTCCTCGACCTATTGCTTAATTTCTCTGTGGATCCATTGATCCTTATCTGACTGATGTGTGTTCAATTTTGACTCTTAGTGTTTTCACCTGGGTAATTGTGTGCTAACTGAGCTGAAGCTGAGCTGACTTGAGTGAACAATATTGAATGCTAGTGCTTTCTAAATGACCACGTGGTGTAGGCAGTGAGAAATGAAGGGATTTGTGTGTAGAGTTTTGCTGTGACAGTTCAACAAATCTGACTAATGTGTCAAAACAGGGGAATAGTGTTCATAGTTCAGTGAAATGGGTGTGCTTTTTGATAAATGGCATTATGGTTTTGAAATTTTAGCTCAAAAGCCTGGTTATAGTGTTTAAGAAATCGAGAAAAATTGTAATGTAACAAATGGTTAAATAATAATAATAATAATGAGTATTATTAAAATAACCATTGGTTTTAATTGTAAAAAGAATAATCATAATTATAATAATGACAATAATAATGTTATATATAACAATAATTCATATCATTATTAAAATATTATGGCACTAATAATATACATTATTATAATAATACAGGAGAAAAACAAGAAACATTTTAATTTTTAATTTAAAGAATGTTTAAAAAAATATATAATAATAATAATACGTATTATTAAAATAATTATTGGTGTTAATTGTTAAAAAATGATAATAATATATATTTATAATTAATATAAAAATAATAATTATCATTTTTAATTTGAAATAATAATATTAATTTATATATTTATTAAAATAGTATGATATAAATAATATAAATTTAAACACCAGGAGAAAAACAAGAAACATTTTAATTTTTAATTTAAAGAATAACTAACAATAATAAGTATTATTAAAATAATCATTGGATTTAATTGTAAAAAAAAAATGACAATAATATTATATATAAATAGTATAAAAATAATAATTAAACATTTTAATAATAATAAATATATTATTAAAATACAATATACATTATTATAATAATACAAACACCAGAAGAAAAACAAGAATGGTTAAATAATAATAATAAGTATTATTAAAATGACAATAATAATATTATATAATAAATAATATAAAAATAATTCAGATTTTAATTTTTTAATAATAATATTAATTGATATATTTATTAAAATATTGTAATACTAATAATATAAATTATAATAATAATCATCATTTTTATTTTTATTTTCAAATATTAATAATCATATTTATTAAACAATATAAGACTAATAATATAAAACAATATTAAAATAATGATCACATCATTTTTAAATTAAAGAATGGTTAAATAATTTTAATACTAATAATAATTATCATTTCAAAAGTAAGTTCATTCAAGTTTTTTTTTAAGAAAAATCGAATAATGATTTCTGAAATATTGCACAAGTACAAAAGCATGGAAAAGGATGGAAAAACAGAAATACTCAATAATTAATAAATCACAATTGATGAACTTAGCAACATTGAGTTATTAAACTGAATTGATCTGAATAATGACACTGTTGTCTTCTGCTGCTCATTTTGTTTCATAATTGATACATTTTGTTATTTTATTGTTTATTAATGTGAAGCTTCTGTATTTATTGATTCATTTAGTAACATTATTGTTTATTAATGTGAAGCTTCTGTATTTATTGATTCATTTAGTAACATTATTGTTTATTAATGTGAAGCTTCTGTATTTATTGATTCATTTAGTAACATTATTGTTTATTAATGTGAAGCTTCTGTATTTATTGATTCATTTTGTTACTTTATTGTTTATTAATGTAAAGCTTCTGTATTTATTGATTCATTTTGTTACTTTATTGTTTATTAATGTGAAGCTTCTGTATTTATTGATTCATTTAGTAACATTATTGTTTATTAATGTGAAGCTTCTGTATTTATTGATTCATTTTGTTACTTTATTGTTTATCAATGCGAAGCTGTATTACAAAGCCTGTGAAGAGACGACTCAACGCCGCCGATATGGACTCTCTATGGTGGACGGCTCTGATCCTCAATAACTCGTCTCCATACCGGCGTGATTACTTCGACTTCCAACCAGATGGAAATGGGCAAATACTCTAAATGTTCCGATCCAATCTGACCTGTAACGCTGCCCGACTCACACACTGTTCCTCCGTTGGCCAGAGGAGAACTGAGACTGAGTCTGGTTATCTCAAGGGTTTTTCTCCATTCTGTCCCTGATGGAGTTTCGGTTCCTCTCCACTGTTGCCTTGGCTTGTGGCTTGCTTAGTTGGGGACATTTAATATTCAACTATATTATTGATCTGCTTTTCTTAAGGTGGACCCTGACGCAATTTTCTTTTAGAAACAAACTTTGTTGTATTATTTTCATGTTATCACGGTGAAGCTGCTTTGATACAATCTGTATTGTAAAAAACACTATATAAATGAAGGTGACTTGACTATTTATTGATTCATTTTGTTACTTTATTGTTTATTAATGTGAAGCTTCAGTATTTATTGACTAATTTATATACATAATTGTTTATTAATGTGAAGCTTCAGTATTTATTGATTCATTTTGTTACTTTATTGTTTATTAATGTGAAGCTTCAGTATTTATTGACTAATTTATATACATTATTGTTTATTAATGTGAAGCTTTTGTATTTATTGATTCATTTTGTTACTTTATTGTTTACTAATGTGAAGCTTTTGTATTTATTGATTCATTTAGTTTCTTTATTGTTTATTAATGTGAAGCTTTTGTATTTATTGACTAATTTTGTTACTTTATTGTTTATTAATGTGAAGCTTCAGTATTTATTGAATCATTTTGTTACATTATTGTTTATTAATGTGAAGCTTCAGTATTTATTGATTCATTTTGTTACTTTATTGTTTATTAATGTTAAGCTTCAGTATTTATTGACTAATTTTGTTACTTTATTGTTTACTAATGTGAAGCTTCTGTATTTATTGATTCATATAGTTTCTTTATTGTTTATTAATGTGAAGCTTTTGTATTTATTGACTAATTTTGTTACTTTATTGTTTAATAATGTGAAGCTTCTTCTGTATTATATAAAGCACTGTATAAATACATGTGACTTGACAAGCTGCATAAATCCTGTTAAAAACAAACAAGGCAGATTCGTTTGCTTTTAGTAACTACCGTTGTCACGACCCAGACCCGGACTGACCCGTTACCTTCGTTCCTGAAGCTCCTCACGATGCTGGCGGACGGCGTGGCGCTGCGCTCGGTGGCGAACCGGTTGTAAAGTTCCAGCATGTACTCGGGAGGTTTGGTGCGGCTGGAGCGCGGCTTCAATCCGGGCCCCGGATCCGTCAGGTTCAGCATGTGGAGGAACTGCCCCAGAACCTCCTGCATGTCCACACTATCCACACCACCGTCCCGCTGGTCCAGACGGGGAATCGGACCACAGTGACCCGACGACACCAGCAGAACACAGAGACCCAAGACTCGAGGAAACACAGAAAGAGCCATTAGAAGTAGTGTGAGTTGTTAGGATGATGTGATGTGAGTTTCGGACACCTGGTGTGTGCGCCGGCCCGGTTCTCTCCCTCGGCCCCTGACAGGTTGATGTGGTGCGAGAAGAGAAACAGCCTCGTCCTTGTGGATCTTGTGATCGGGGATAGAGGGCAGGACTGCGCTGTCGACCCGCTTGTGCTGACAAGTTTGGAGATGTTGCCACTTGGTCTGTGGGCCTTTCCTGAGGGCCACTGGGTTCCTCACACTCTCTGTATCTTCTTTCCATGCATGCCTTTCTCAAACCTGCAGCTCAAACGTATATACGCTCTGACTACACGTACATTCATATACAGTGAGTAGACGCTCTTATTCACACTCTTCAAAATAAAGGTTTGACAAAGAGGGTTTTCACAGCGACTCCATATAAGGGCCAGTTCTCGAAGTCCCCCTAGTCAATCATTTTATCGCTTAAAACTCACGAAAATTACATATTTAAACGTTTTTTCTTCACGCCTTTTAATATCTTGAATGTATATTACACAATTGTGACTTTATATCACACAATCGTTCACGCAATCGTGACTTTATATCACGCAATCGGGACTATAACGCGCAATTGTAACTTTATATCACACAATTGTGACTATATCACGCAATTGTGACTTTATAACCCAATTGTGACTTTATAACGCAATTGTGACTTTATAACGCAATTGTGACTTTATATCACGCAATTGTGACTTTATATCACACAATTGTGACTTTATATCACGCAATTGTGACTTTATATCACACAATTGTGACTATATCACGCAATTGTGACTTTATAACGCAATTGTGACTTTATAACACGCAATTGTGACTTTATATCACACAATTGTGACTATATCACGCAATTGTGACTTTATAACCCAATTGTGACTTTATAACGCAATTGTGACTTTATAACACGCAATTGTGACTTTATATCACGCAATTGTGACTTTATATCACACAATTGTGACTATATCACGCAATTGTGACTTTATAACCCAATTGTGACTTTATAACGCAATTGTGACTTTATAACACGCAATTGTGACTTTATATCACACAATCGTGACTTTATATCACACAATCGTGACTTTATATCACGCAATCGTGACTTTATATCACGCAATCGTGACTTTATATCACACAATTGTGACTTTATAACACGCAATTGTGACTTTATATCACACAATTGTGACTTTATATCACGCAATTGTGACTTTATAACACGCAATTGTGACTTTATCTCACACAATTGTGACTTTATATCACACAACTGTGGCTTTATATCACGCAATTGTGACTTTATATCACTCAATTGTGACTTTATATCACGCAATTGTGACTTTATATCACGCAATTGTGACTTTATATCACGCAATCGTGACTTTATATCACACAATTGTGACTTTATATCACACAATTGTGGCTTTATATCACGCAATTGTGACTTTATATCACGCAATTGTGACTTTATATCACGCAATTGTGACTTTATATCACGCAATTGTGACTTTATATCACACAATCGTGACTTTATATCACGCAATTGTGACTTTATATCACGCAATCGGGACTATAACGCGCAATTGTAACTTTATATCACACAATTGTGACTATATCACGCAATTGTGACTTTATATCACGCAATTGTGACTTTATAACACGCAATAGTGACTTTATATCACGCAATTGTGACTTTATATCACACAATTGTGACTTTATACCACGCAATTTTGACTTTATATCACACAATTGTGACTTAATATCACGCAATTGTGACTTTTTATCACGCAATTGTGACTATATCACGCAATTGTGACTTTATATCACGCAATTGTGACTTTATAACACGCAATAGTGACTTTACATCACGCAATTGTGACTTTATATCACACAATTGTGACTTTATACCACGCAATTTTGACTTTATATCACGCAATTGTGACTTTATATCACGCAATTGTGACTTTATATCACACAATTGTGACTTTATATCACGCAATTGTGACTTTATATCACGCAATTGTGACTATATCACGCAATTGTGACTTTATATCACGCAATTGTGACTTTATAACACGCAATAGTGACTTTATATCACGCAATTGTGACTTTATATCACGCAATTGTGACTTTATATCACGCAATAGTGACTTTATATCACACAATTGTGACTTTATATCACGCAATTTTGACTTTATATCACGCAATTGTGACTTTATATCACGCAATTGTGACTTTATATCACGCAATTGTGACTTTATAACACGCAATAGTGACTTTATATCACACAATTGTGACTTTATATCATGCAATTGTGACTTTATATCACGCAATTTTGCTTTTATATCACGCAATTGTGACTATATTACGCAATTGTGACTTTATATCACGCAATTGTGACTTTATATCACACAATTGTCACTTTATATCACGCAATTTTGCTTTTATATCACGCAATTGTGACTATATTACGCAATTGTGACTTTATATCATGCAATTGTGACTTTATATCACACAATTGTGGCTTTATATCACGCAATTGTGACTTTATATCACGCAATTGTGACTTTATATCACGCAATTGTGACTTTATATCATTCAATCGGGACTATAACGCGCAATTGTAACTTTATATCACACAATTGTGACTATATCACGCAATTGTGACTTTATAACGCAATTGTGACTTTATAACACGCAATTGTAACTTTATATCACGCAATTGTGACTTTATAACACGCAATAGTGACTTTATATCACGCAATAGTGACTTTATATCACACAATCGTGACTTTATATCACGCAATTGTGACTTTATATCATGCAATCGGGACTATAACGCGCAATTGTAACTTTATATCACACAATTGTGACTATATCACGCAATTGTGACTTTATAACGCAATTGTGACTTTATAACACGCAATTGTAACTTTATATCACGCAATTGTGACTTTATATCACGCAATTGTGACTTTATATCACGCAATAGTGACTTTATATCACGCAATTGTGACTTTATATCACACAATTGTGACTTTATATCACGCAATTTTGACTTTATATCACGCAATTGTGACTTTATATCATGCAATCGTGACTTTATATCACGCAATTGTGACTTTATATCACGCAATTGTGACTTTATATCACGCAATTGTGACTTTATATCACGCAATTGTGACTTTTTATATCACGCAATTGTGACTTTATATCACGCAATTGTGACTTTATATCACGCAATTGTGACTTTATAACACGCAATTGTGACTTTATATCACGCAATTGTAACTTTATATCACGCAATTGTGACTTTATAACACGCAATAGTGACTTTATATCACGCAATTGTGACTTTATATCACGCAATTGTGACTTTATATCACGCAATAGTGACTTTATATCACGCAATTGTGACTTTATATCACACAATTGTGACTTTATATCACGCAATTTTGACTTTATATCACGCAATTGTGACTTTATATCATGCAATCGTGACTTTATATCACGCAATTGTGACTTTATATCACGCAATTGTGACTTTATATCACGCAATTGTGACTTTATATCACGCAATTGTGACTTTTTATATCACGCAATTGTGACTTTATATCACGCAATTGTGACTTTATATCACGCAATTGTGACTTTATAACACGCAATTGTGACTTTATATCACACAATTGTGACTTTATATCATGCAATTGTGACTTTATATTACGCAATTGTGACTTTATATCGCGCAATTGTGAATTTATAACACGCAATAGTGACTTTATATCACGCAATTGTGACTTTATATCACACAATTGTGACTTTATATCACGCAATTTTGCTTTTATATCACGCAATTGTGACTATATCACGCAATTGTGACTTTATATCACGCAATTGTGACTTTATATCACACAATTGTGGCTTTATATCACGCAATTGTGACTTTATATCACGCAATTGTGACTTTATATCACGCAATTGTGACTTTATATCACACAATCGTGACTTTATATCACGCAATTGTGACTTTATATCATGCAATCGGGACTATAACGCGCAATTGTAACTTTATATCACACAATTGTGACTATATCACGCAATTGTGACTTTATAACGCAATTGTGACTTTATAACACGCAATTGTAACTTTATATCACGCAATTGTGACTTTATATCACGCAATTGTGACTTTATATCACACAATTGTGACTTTATATCACACAATTGTGACTTTATATCACGCAATTGTGACTTTTATATCACGCAATTGTGACTATATTACGCAATTGTGACTTTATATCACGCAATTGTGACTTTATATCACGCAATTGTGAGTTTATATCACGCAATTGTGACTATATCACGCAATTGTGACTTTATATTATGCAATTTTGACTTTATATCACGCAATTGTGACTTTATATCATGCAATTGTGACTTTATATCATGCAATTTTGACTTTATATCACGCAATTGTGACTTTATATCACACAATTGTGACTTTATATCATGCAATTCTGAGATAAAAAGTCGCAATTACCTTTTTTATTTTTTATTCTGTGGCGGAAATCCATATGAATTTGCTCATGGTTTGTCTTAAAGCATATTAAAAACACCACATAGACACATAAACAACACTAAAAGCTGTATTTTCACCACAGGGGGACTTTAAAAGAACTATTGTTTTAGCATGAAGAACATTTTAGTAATCTGAACAACCTTTTTCCACTAGAACATTTGAAAGGTTCCATGGATGTTTATGGGACCATCGATGCCAATAAACCTTTTTTCCTTTTTTTTAAGAGGTCAGAGCGACATACGGAAAGATTGTGTGATCAACAGATGACAAACATTCAAGAAAAGTGATTCCTGCACAAAAAACACAAATAAATACTGCAAAACCAGATGCAAACACAATGTTCTCCCGCAAAAAAGGATGGAAAACTGAAAAACTGAATCTGTAACATCACATCATCACAGCAAAACAAGAGAGTCTGCCTGATTTGACCTTGCAATCTGAATTTAATGTTATTCTAAATATTCACAAAGAAATGACTCTTATGAGGCGGTTCCTTTTAACAAATTAATGCATACTTTCTTCCAGTGAAGCTGCTTAGAAACATTCTGAATTGCACAAAGCGCTGTATACACAGTATATAATGACAAGCAGTATTACAAAGCAACCACTAGGCGTCAGTGTAAAGTCATGCAGGTGATATGTAATGTAATGCAGGTTTACTGTAAGACTATTATTTTAATAGCATTATCAGTTTGATGAGATGATGTGCATTCAAGCACCACTTAGAAAGAGGTTTAAAGAGCACAATGAGGGCTAATGAAGGACTGGGTTGCTGTGATTGGGATATCGTAACCAGCTCGACATTATACGGTTCTCCCTGACGCCTGATTCGAGCGCTTGATTAACCCTCCCTGCAGGGGTCTGATAGCAGCATTTATTGTGTTTTTCTGTCGGTATATACAGCGTCAGAGACACACGGTATAGACGCATTCATCCACAACAGCCATGCAGTGATAAACATGGAGTGGTTTTAAAATAAGTTGCAAAATGTACGCCACAATGGAGAAACGGTGGTGCAAATTATCTCGACGGGAAGGGTTTAATCGCAGGATGGACTGAGATACACAGCTGAGATTGCAGTCGTTTTTCCGTTTCCAGCTGTGCTGTTCTGCCAGACTGAGAGATTCAACAACACACAGCCCAAACTACAGAGAAAACACTGATGAACCACTGGAAACCTCAAGGCTTTCCCATTATGAGAGCTTTTTATGATTTTGTTTTAACCTTCATCCTTCCCTCAGGCTATTTTGACCCGGAAAATATTTTTGATTAAACAAAAACAGAAGGGTGTTCATCAGAGAGGTCCAAGACCCCAGGACTTTTGTCGCACAAAATTTGGTAACACTTGAAGGGGTGTGCATAAGACTGACATGACACCTTCATAATCATGACATGACACATGTTATGAATATGAAGGAAGTTTTATGCATGTTTATGACAACTGGCATTAAGTGTCATTCGCTCAATTATGACATTTTTAATGCAAATATGACATTGTTTGAGATGTCTTTGTTATGACACCTTGACATAAACCAATACATCATAACATGTCAGTGTCTTGGTAATGACAACTTGACATTACTAAGACAACACAACCTGTCATAAATATGACACAGCAGATTAATTATCAAACTTAAGAAACCACGGTAACACTTTACTTGAAGGGGTGTGCATAAGACTGACATGACACCTTCATAATCATGACATGACACATGTTATGAATATGAAGGAAGTTTTATGCATGTTTATGACAACTGGCATTAAGTGTCATTCGCTCAATTATGACATTTTTAATGCAAATATGACATTGTTTGAGATGTCTTTGTTATGACACCTTGACATAAACCAATACATCATAACCTGTCAGTGTCTTGGTAATGACAACTTGACATTACTAAGACAACACAACCTGTCATAAATATGACACAGCAGATTAATTATCAAACTTAAGAAACCACGGTAACACTTTACTTGAAGGGGTGTGCATAAGACTGACATTACACCTTCATAATCATGACATGACACATGTTATGAATATGAAGTAGGGTTTATGCATGTTTATGACAACTGTCATTAATGACATAAACCATAACATCATAACCTAGTGTCTTTGTCATGACAACTTGACATTACATTAAGTTAAACTGTCATGTGGCTGGTGTTGACATTGGCTGTCATGAGGCATTATAACTGTGTCATGAATATTTTTCTTGACCTCGACTACAGTGGTACACATTGAATTTGTCATTAAAATGTTATAATGGCCTCATGACAGCCAATGTCAAAACCAACCACATGACAGTTTAATGTAATGTTATTGAAACGTATGAACATGAATATTGCTTGCCACAGCTAGCCATATTTCGATTAGTTAAAATGTATGAGAATTAAACATTGAATTTATATTTATCTGGCTATTGTGTCAAACACATTCAGTTTATTACCAGAAATCTGACCAGTTTCATTTATATATGACTGACAAATATGCATAACATTAAGTTTATTAGTTAGTTAATGCTAAAACAGTAATTTTATATGCAAATCAAATACATAAATCTAATCTTCAATTTGGGCATTCGTATTTTGTGAGAGCAAGAGGAAGATTATGAGGGACAACTTTCTGATAGTCTGACTTCTGACTCTCCTCCTACTGTCAAAAATCAAGCCCATAATTTTAATTTTTTTACAATCAAAAATCTTTATTTTTGTGCAATCATATGATTACAGTTGCATGAGTCCATCAGTCAAAGGCTCGTTCTGTCCTGTCAAAGTGCTTCAGAAATATGCTATTAACCCTGTAAAGCCGGACATGCGAAATAATCTACCTTTATTAAAATGGAAAAGTTTACTGAATATTAAAAAAGTTTCCATATGTGTTTTATGTTGAGTATCATATTTGATCCATCGGGCTTTTATGGCTTATTTAGTTTGATATAGTGAGAATATAAAGGGGAAAACTGAGCAAGAATATGTTGTTTGCTGCAGATGCTGATATTTATATTTTTAAAGAGGCTTTTAACTAGTTTGTAGGGTGGTTAGGCTGGTCTAATCTGTACGTGTTGTTTATTTTATTTATTTATTTTGTTTTTGTTTTTGTGATGCAATGTATTTATGAGAGTTGTTAATGTTTTCTTTTGTTGTGAAGCACTTTGTGATCTTCATCTGAGAAAAGTGCTATACAAATAAATTTTACTTACTTACTATATAAAATGCTGATATCTGTAATGTAAATAAATGAGCTCTTTATAACAGTATAGCAGATACTTAACATGTATATAAATATCATTCATCACTATTTCTGCCAATAATGTCTTAGAAAGATGCTTAGTTTTATGATCAAAGCTCTGTAGTTTTAAAACATAATGCAACGCAATGCAATGGTTATTGATAAACCTTCCTCAAATTCCACATTTCACCTTTAACCCATTATGAAATTGTTTAATATATATATATTTTTTAAATTTGATTTTTGCATTACGTTTATAAAAATGCTTCATATTTGTACATCAAGCGCGCTTTACACTCATGTTTGCAAAAAGTCCTCATATTTGTCATGGAAATAATTGTCACTGTAATTACAACAATCAGTGTTTATAATCCTCAAGGCTCTGTTGTTTGGCATGATGGAGAGTGTGTGAGACCTTGTGGGTGTGCTGGCAGTCGTGGGACGCCACGTCAGAGCGAGAAGGTTGGAAGTAAATGGCAGACAATATTATTCTGCTCAAACACACTATTATTCTGCTCACCCTGCAGGGAAATGAGTTCCTTACACGAGGGACAATAAGACATCGTGTGGCGACAGCAGAGGTCTTTTATTCCTGTCACTGTATGAGACGTGACACACACACACACACACACACACACACACACACACACACACACACACACACACACACACACACACACACACACACACACACACACACACACACACACACACACACACACACACACACACACACACACACACACACACACACACACACACACACACCCATATTTATCTGAAATAGAAAGCTTTTGTAACATTAAACACTGTTGTTCAAAAGTTTTGGGTCAGAAAGAATTTTGTTTTTGGAAAGAAAAACTGAAGAAATTAATACTTTTTCATTCTGCAAGGACGCATTAAATTGATCAAAAGTGAGAGTAAAGACATTTATAATGTTACAAAAGCTTTCCATGTCAAATAAATGCTGTTCTTTTGAAGTTTTTATTCATCAAACAATCCTGAATTTTTTTTACATAACTGTTTTCAACACTGATAATAATCATAAATGTTTCTTGAGCATCAGATCCTCATATTAGAGTGATTTCTGAAGGATCATGTGACACTGAAGACTGGAGTGATATAAAAGTCGCAATTAAGTAATTAAGTCGTAATAAAAAAAAATTCTCCCACAATTCTGTAAGAAAAGTCGACTTAATTAATTGCGACTTTTTCTGACTCTTTTTTCACATTTGCAAGTTTATTTCAATTCTGAGAAGTCAGAACTGCAAGATTTAGTCGCAATTCAGATTTTTTTGTTACAATTATGAGTTTATATCACACAAGACTTACTTTATAACTCAGAAATGCGAGTTCATATCTGTGTTCATATCTGTGAAAAAGGTCAGAATTGTGAGATGTAAACTCGTCTCGCAAGTGCGAGAAAAAGTCAAAATTGTGAGATAAAAAGTTGCAATTACTTTATTTTTGTGTTCTGTGGCATAAACAAGCTTCCATATTGACGAGCCCCATTATGACAAAAGATCCAATTACAAACATCATATTTCCGCACTGTCCTTTTCAACTTTGAATCAATTCAAAGTTATTATACAGTTTAGTTTAGATTTCACAAGTCATGAAACACTGTTCAATTAATAACCACAGACATTTATGCAATCTTACATATTTTCAATTATTTATTTTATTTTCCAATGTATCACACAATTTTACACATCAGGTTCAAACAATTTAGTACAATTTACAAATGTACATATAAATCACAAAAATAATTCAGTGTTAAAGAGCCTAAACGCATCAACTTTAGGGTTCTTGATTTGATTTTAAAGAAGCCAAAAAGTTTATAAATACAGTAAGGAGAAATGTCTTAAATGATTGCATATGATTCATGTTTAACAGGTTATTTAAATTTTTGTCAAGTGAAAGCATGTTTACGAGCCAACACTCAATTAAAACAAAATTACGTAATAATTTATTAAACCTAATTTCATAAAATGACCCCATGATGGAAACTTCTATACATGAAGCTCCTGACAGAACCCTGTAACGTGCCATAACCTTTTCTAATAATAAAGAACCTTTTCTTTTAACTTTTTGTTTTTTTGTAAATATCTCTATTATTGTCTAGCCCACCAGTCGAAAAGCAGATCTACTGTATATAAAGATGAATCACTAGATATACGGTTTGAGTGTTTAAAGTCCCCCTGTGTTAAATCCAGCTTTTAATGTTGTTTATGTGTCTATGTGGTGTTTTTAATAGGCTGTAAGACACACCATGTGTAAGTTCATAAGTCGACAGCATTGCTGAGTATTTTCTGCTTAAAACTGCAGTGAACCAAAGACAGTCTCAAAAACACGGTTTGAAATCGCTGGTGTTTCTGACGTCACAAACGACCTTGTAACCAATCAGATCAACGTGTGATCGTCAACCAGTGGATCTCTGAGCTGAGTGAGTGAGTGGAGGCGGGGCTCATTTGCATATTCATAGAACCGTGCATACTAAATGAGGCGGGGGTGTCGAGTTACATTCAAGATATTTTAAGGCGTGAAGAAATGTTTTTTAAGGAAAAAACGTTTAACTATGTAATTTTGGTGATCAAAGATGAGATTTAAGAGGGAAAATTATTGACTACAGGGGGACTTTAAAGACAGTATAGAAAAATATTTTCAATAATGATTCATATTAAGGCCGTGACACTGACACATGTCTGCGGGAGTTCGCCCGATTCAGATCGTTGGATCGCCATCGAGGAGAGAGAGAACTCTGATTGGCTGTTCAGATTAGCCAACGAGTCGGTGCATGAGAATAAAAGTGAAAGCAAAGAACGCAAGCAATTACTCAGTCAGTAATTACTCTCCCTCATGTTGTTCAACCCCGTAAGACTTTCGTTCATCTTCGGGACACAAATGAAGATATTTGTGATTAGATCTGAGAGCTGGATCACTCCTCCATAGGCTTCTAAGGGATCGAAACTTGCCGGCCCGGAAAGTTATTAAAGACATCGTTAAAATAGTCCGAGTGACTACAGTGGCTCAACCTTCAGTTTATCAAGCGACGAGAATACTTTCTGTGCGCAAAAACAAACAAAAATAACGACTTTATTCAACTCTTCATGTTCCTCTCTGTGGGCCTCGAGTGAGTTCGCGTAGTGTAATGGTGCGTTCACACCGGACGCGAATAGCGCGTCAGGCGCGAGTGATTTCAATGTTAAGTCAATGCAAAGACGCGTTACGCGCGTAAAAAATTCCTGCGGCGCGAATGAGGCGTAGAGCGCGGCGTGGTAGACGCGAATACTCCTCGTTCGCGCGAATTGAGCGTCTGGCGCGTTAAGCGCGTTACGCGCGAATGATTTAGTTAGTGCTATTTGTGCATTCTCGCGTTTGACGCGAATTCGCGTCTGCCGCCCGAGTTGAAAAATCTGAACTTCTGCGTCAATTCGCGCCGCGTTAACCAATCAGGAGCCTAGCTGCTTGCTGCTGTCACGTGGTGAAGTGACCGTTTATAATGTTATTTTATGTTTGGCCTCAATAAATTATTTTGTAATATGACAAAAATGCTTGGTGTGCAAAGCAAATCTTTCACATAACTCGATTTCAATATATGAGAGAAACTCATTTTGTATTGAATGCTATTTATTCCATATCTATTCTAGATTATATGAAACATTATTATTCTAATGTAAAGACAACAAACACAATTTAGTGTATAAAAACTTTTTTTTAAATCACAGGACAGGTTTCACTTTTGGAGGCTGGCTACATTTATTATCAAAACAAAAATAAATGACAGATTAGGTGGATGCGGGCGAGGGTGAACCTCGCGCCGGGCTGTAGAGCGCGGGCTCGACAGGCATAGACCACTCGAGGCCGAGGGCTTATACGGCCTACGCTGTCCTCGTCAGCGTCCTCACCGTTAGGTCCACCAAAGCTAGCTCCTGGAGCCAATTGTGAAACTCCTGAAACCCTCCGGAGGGTCTGGTGGACCCGAGTACAGCGACGATGTCCCCTACGCAGCTGTTTCTGCTCTCCAGAGCATATACCAGCGGTGACTCTCTCGAATAATGCTAGATAAACATCTAAAAAGATGGCCGCCAACGGGTTTCGAAACTTTCGCCTCCGGATTTTGCCTCTGACGCGCGTAAATTTCGCTTCAAACTTTTGTTTTTACGCACGTCAATTTCGCCATTGACACGCAAATTAACACAAAGTGGTCAAGCGTCAAACTAGACGCGGTAGACGCGAATTTGACGAGCTATTCGCGTCCGGTGTGAACGCACAGTTACAGCGCAGCGCTTCTGGGTTGTACGACAGAACGTAGGCTCACTATTGGCCGACGCTGGTCATGTGTGTGATGCGTGTGATGCTGGCCAATAGTGAGCCTACACACCATGAACCTGTATATGAGGATTATTCCTCAGTTAAAGGTCTCTTATATGAACTGTCAGTCTTGCAAGTAACACAACATCAAGACAAACAACTTCCAAAAATAAAAGCGCAACATCGTTCACATCAGTGACCTGCAGAATATTACACTGTACAAGAAACAAATAAAACCATATGAAAATCTCAGTTTCACTCAGTTTCATGATGAATGACTGACTTCATGTGCCATTTTCTTTTGCACATGTCACATATCAAAATTAAAGTGTATAAATCTTACTCAGCATTACATTTTCAGCTCAATTTGCTAAAGAAAATATTTGAAGTCGACATGAAACAGCTCATTTACTTCTGTAATGTGACATTCGGAGTAGAAACTAACAGAACAAAAAAAAAAAAGTAGGGCATTGACTTTAAATCAATCGTTAATATTTAATCAGAATAAGTTCCTCTCGCAGCATCTCTTCTCTGATGATGTGGGCGGAGCAACCTGTCACTCACATGAGATCAGCCAATAGCAAACCACCACAATCCAATCAATTCACAAGGATAAAATCAAGCCCCGCCCACATTTGTTCTTGTTCCTGAAGCGTTTCACTCGAAATACGACACAATACAGAAGAAAACACCAGTGCAACTTCCATTTAATGCCGACTTTAATGAGTTGTGGTGTCTGTCAATATAATACATCTTTAGCTAACTGTAATTTGTATATGTATATTTCTGAAATACATAACTTAGATAGTTTCCTCTGATAACAGATCACTGTAAATTGTAATGTGGATTTTCTGTAAAGCTGCTTTGAAATGATGTGTGTTGTGAAAAGCGCTAAACAAATAAATGTGAATTGAATTGTAAATGACAGTAGAGTGAGATATAGTTTAACCGAAGCACTAAAAACACATCTGAGGCTCTGAGGACATTCGATTTTCATCTCCAGGAACGTAAACAGAGTAATCCTTCATATTCTTCCTGGTCAAGAACACACGCAGCTCGATCTCTCATGGGGAATCATGACTGAGGCGTGAGGAAGGCACACAGCGCTGTCATTTACTGCAGGTGTGTGTAGTTTTTCTGTAATTTTCTCAGAAATTGGTTCCGTTGTCAATAGGTCTTTTGTTTTTCAATAGAGAAAGAGAACAATTCAGTTCGCTCCTTAAATGTCAGCTCGCGCACATTTCACCCG